GCAAAGGGGAAAGGACTGGGACAACTAAAACAGAATAACAATAAAGTATTTTTTTACATTCTTTTAATAAAAGTAATTATAACTTTCTAATAACTTTTAATCTTTGAAATTTTTATTTAATCTGAATTTAACCTAGAGTATGTTGTAAGTTACAAGTCTGACTTTTCTTTCCAGATGAATACCCAGTTGCTTGACATCAATTATTAAATAGTCCCTATTCTCTCTAATGATTGAGATGGTAATTTTGTCACGTGAAAGCTTTCTGCATGATTTAGGTCTGCTTCTGAACTTTGCATTTTGCAAATTTCTGAATATCAGTGCAACAGTACAAGGTTTTTCACTACTGAAGCTATATAATATGCTTTAGTATCTATCAGAGCTAAACTCTACTTCATGTATCCACACAATGCATTTTTTAAGTATACCTGGTTTTATTTAATTTCCTGTGTAGACATTAAGAAATAAAACAAGCATAATGGCACTGCAATTTTACTAAAATCTTAATAAATATGTGTAATAAAATGGAGATTAGAAAATGTTAATATATGAGATCTTCTCTCAAACAGCATGGTTTATCTTAAGAATTTTTTTTTCTGATTTTGTGTGTTTTGAACTATACTGTGGCAATAAAGTTTTCTCAATTCAGAAATTATATGTATTTGCTAATTTGAGTGCTAAGCATTTTAATATTGTAACTGAACTGCTGCTTACATAATAGTTTTTTCCTATTGTACTACTTAGTTCTTATCTATATATAAAGGCAATTTATTCCATTTAGTATATTAATTAACAAAATTTTGTTACTGTAAAATGTTTGAAAACATTATTATGTGTAGAGAGTAAAAAACTAATATACATATTAAAACTTTTCTTCTATACTCAATTTTTTTAACCTTAAAGTTAGGCCCTAAAATTCTAGATAGATAGAAAAATAATAGCAGGTATTTAACAAAAGAAGACTTCAATGTGAAGCAGTATCATGAGAAAAATACTTTTGCCTAATGAGCAAAATAAACTAAGGAGCAAAATAGAACCAGAGGCATGGCAACAAGAAACAGACTGACAGAGACCGCCGTGGTAGAGGGTGTGTGTGTTGAGGATAAGGGTGGAAAGAAGGGAAGGGACTAGTCAAGGAACATGTGTGAATGACCCATGGACATGGACAACAGGGTGGGGACTGACTGTGGGGACAGAAATGGGATGGGCAGAGGAGGGCAAAGGGGAAAAATTGGGAAAACTGTACTTGAATAACAATGAAGTATTTTTTAAAAACGAAAAATACTTTTGATAAAAGTATTGATTTGGGGATATGGAATTTTCTACTCTCACAATAATAATAAAATTGCAAAAGTAATTTATCATGAATAAAGTGCAATTAATATCGTACTATTTTCTAGCACAAGTAGTACTCACAATTTTATTTATAAAAGAAAATTAAAAGTAATATTGGTTTGTAATAAAATTCATAAATGCAGCAATCATCATTCATTCAGAAAACAAGTTCACTGGCACACATGAAATGTTTAAATGTATATGTTTAATTTAGTCAACTAAACTGTAATGATCACAAGCTTTAAATTAAAAAAAGGTATTGAAAGAGAACTTTTCTCTTTTTTGCTATGATTTTATCTTTTCTTAACTATAATTCATATTCTTATTTCATTTCACAACTCATTATCCACTCTGTCAGTATCTTCTTTTCTCAAACCTAATAATACATATAATGAACATAGATGATGACATTGAAAAGAAACAGTGCATGTCAGCTCTTTCTCAAGTTGTGCACTGTAGACCAATTGTCCTTGAAGGGGCTGCTTCTAATTAATTACCATCCCTTTTTGTAGAGCAATCATATTGGCAAGAATTGATTGGGCGTGTGAGATACTTCATTTAGTTGGTAGAAAATTCTCTTAATTAAAATTATTTTACTGCTGGTAAAATTAATGCACCCCATGCAAACTTACTAGCTTGATTTTAATGTTTCCTTTCAATGATGTTTTATGAAAAAAAAGGAAATAAGATCTTATCAGAAACAACCAGAAAAAATGAGACTTACATAAAGTGTGTCATTTTATTTACATATTCCTTTCTTTTTTTCACCTATCCTAAAATCTGTTTTGTTTTTTCTTTTAAACACTACTGAAGGTAGTTGCATTGTGGGTCTTTGTACCAACATTAAAAGATAATGTCGATGGCTCTACTTCAGTTTTTGTTGACTATTGAGTTGTTTTACACTAGCTTCTTTTGCTTGGACAGTCCAAGTCATTTAGAATCTCAGATATGGAGGTCACATAATTCTTATTTTTGTAATAATTAGCTACGTTTATTAAGGTCTGAACATAGATTCATGAACTTACAATGACTATATATAGTTATATTACTTTGATGATAATTGTTCTAAGCTGATTTATCCATGAGCAAATTTGACTTCATATTATCCCCATGTCCTAGGAATTATATTTGTTATACTACTGTCATTCATAAAAGTAACTTTATGCTTTAGAGATAATTTAGTCATGAGCAATTTTATTTTCTATTTACTCCTATTTTTCCTAAAAAATACATTTACTATTTTATTGTTGTAAATATGTTATTTTTAGCCATTTTTAGTTCTCAATGAATTTAATGTTTATCATTAAGTAAATGTATACATGCATTATGCATTATTCCTACTTTGAGATAAATGGAAACCAGCCTAAAAATAATGTTGACATTGAAGTCTGTGAACAGATTTGGCTGGGAACAGTAGATTATGTTTCTCAGTCTGCACGCTGAAAGCATTTGGGGAGACTTTTCGGATCTTTTGTGTCCACCTCACTACAATTCGAGTTTGACTGTTCTTTAGTGGAAGTCAAACAGTAAATACCATTAAAAGCTCCTCAGGGTATTGTAATATGTGGCCAAGTTTTAAAACCAGTGAGCTAACCACTGAGCTAACACAATCACTAAGTAGTCCCTAAGAACAGATGTTTTTGGTAACTTCCCTAACCATTGTTTGTTTTGTTTGTGTCATTTGTGAAAGAGTAATAACACTGTCTCTGAAGTTCTTTTTATCACTAACAATGTAATCAACAAGCCATTGCTCTCTTCTACCACGTTTGATCTTGTGTGATTTGCTTAATGAACCGATACCTATTTCTGTCATTAGGGGTTGTTAACTCTCCAGAATACCATTTTATGAGCATGATAAAATAAATTATCATGTCTTCTGTTTAAAAGACTGTTAGTTTACTTCTACACTGTTTTAATGTAATAGTAGTCTTGTAAGTGCAGCTGCTGCCAATTGAATACAATAAGCCATGAGTTGAGAAGAGACATATCAAACCTATTAATCTGCTGATTGTTGATAAACTGTCATTAACAGAGGAAATATTCCTTGACAGAATTAATTGGAGTATCATACATTTTTAAGAATGTGCATTAATTTACATAAGCTAAGTAACATAGTATTCAATGTGTAAACAAAGAACCCAGAAAATTATGCTCATCAAAACATTTAAAATAAGAACTTCCAGAGTATACAATAATTAAAATATATATTGAATAAAATATGTATTAGAATTATTTCATTTTAAGTGTTAAAGCCAAAAAACTAGAATTCTTGTTGGACTTCTAACCCTTGCTCCCTGTATACAGTTCATAAACAAAGACTTCTGTTACCTTACAATGTGGTTACCACCAACTCTCTGTTTCTATACTCTCGAATCTATTTCTCTACTTGATGTTTTCAAAAATGTGTCAAATGCTACAATGATTTCATACTCATTTTAGAATAAAATATAAGTATTTAAACCTACATTTTAACTGTAAATTCCTTCTCCCCCAACCCTTATTTTTACTCTTGTCCTCAGAGTTCCAGCCAAGTCTTTAAATAATTCATCTCTTTAATTTTGTATTTTTGTTTTCTGTTTTTTTTTTTTACCTGTTTTATTGGAGGTATGGTTGACATACAAAAAGTTGTTGATGTTGAATATATACAACTTGAAACGTTTGGAGCTACGTATTCACTCATGCAATAATAATCACAATGAATATCAAAAAATTGTTTATCACCTCCAAAAATTTTTCCCAACCCCTTTGGTTCCTTTGTTTGTTTTTATTACTATTATTTTACTTTTTGTTTTAAGAGCAACTAAACATAAGATCTATCTTTTTAGCAATTTTTAAAAATTTTATATAGCATAGTATTAATCATAGGCCCCATGTTGTACAGTACATTCCCCAAATTTATGTAAATTGCATAACTGAAACTTTGTATCTTTTAAACACACACACATATATATGTATGTATATACACACATATCTGTATATACCTCACTTCTCCCACTCCTCTACCTTGGCCTTATTCTCTATATTTCTGTTCAAGGGTCATTTTATCATGGAAAACTTATCTGACCTCCCAACTTACTCTCGAGTTGCTCATACTTTCTTTTCTTTCTTTCTCTCTCTCTCTCTCTTTCTTCCTTTCTCTCTTTCCCTCTCTCTCTTTCTTTTTCCTAAAACAGTTTCTTTAGTTATAAGCAGTCATTGGAGGATATCTCTTTCTGTAGGAGCACTTTACTTCAATTTACAATTATATCTTTATCACTGTATTTTCCCAATAACTCCCCTCTAAAAACATAGATCTATGAGAGTAGGAAATAGGTCTAGTTTTCTTCATGATTATACAGGGTGGGGCAAAAAGTAGGCTTACAGCTGTGGGTACACAAAACACAGGGTTTATTCTTGTATTGTTATTTATTAAGTATTATATATTATTTTCATAAAACAACTGTAAACCTACTTTTGCCTCTCCCTGTATATCTTGGGCCAAACAGAATTCCTCAAATGTAGTAGGGGTTAAGCATATGTCCATTAAGGAAACAAATCAGAGAATAAGAATATTAAATTCATTTATTTTTTTTGAGGTAAAAATATTTTGTGTGATTAGAACATGAATACTTTGTAAATGTTAAAGTGATTCAGGCAAATAAAAAATAAAAAATAAATATTTTATTAACTGTAAATCCCAATTGCCACATATATTTAAATTGATGGGAATGAGGAAATTTAGTTTGGCAAATATCATGGCTGATGGATCCACAGTAGCAGAGGTACAGATGAATTAAACGAACATTCTTCAGAAACCAACATGAATTTCTTTTGCATACATACTGGAAAAACAAAGTAACAAGAAATAATAAATACCTTACTGCACTGTTTCTGTATATATTTTGGCTTATACACAGTTAATTTCTAAAACTACCAATTAAAGACAAGTTTATAGGACACATTTTTAATCTTATATTTTATGTATTTTATTCTTTTTACTTCTCTTTTTGTACTGTCTTTCATCATCTTTATGTTCGAAGTACCTATATAATTTTTTTTGGCTTTGCCTCATTTCTCAATCTATAACTACAGTCTACAGTCTTCTGTTTGCTGAGCTATAATTTTTTAAGTCAAAAGTAACTGTGATATGAATCACCGGGCACATTACCTAAACCACGTATGACCCAGGATGGTTAGTACAAATAAAGCCAAGGTATTATTTGAATTTGTTAGTGTTAAAAATTTAAATTAATATTTTAATGTAATCATGGCATATTTTCTATCAAAATGCTATATTTATAGTAATCTTTATTATTTTCTAAAACTGAATTCATAACTGGTTATACTCACAATTGAATTAATTACATTAAATAATTTCAAGTTGCAGGCAAGCCATCATTAATTTTAAATACATGGTACTTCACTGAGGTTTTAGGATAAAATAAACCAATAAGATAAATATAAGCTCTAGACATAGAGTAGGATTATATATTGTGTTTAGAGCATACTCGAAAATTATTTCTGCTTCTCTGAGTTTCCAATGAGCAAATTCTTCACAAATTTGGCAGACGGAAGCACAGCTGAGTTGTGGGGCACAAGGAGTCACTAACATCTGACATTTCCTTTAATGCAACTACTACACTAATTAAACTTCATTCTAATTGTTTGAAGTTATAACCTTCTATCTGGATTCACAACACAATTTCTTAATGGCTATACAAAGTATGACTTAAAGTCTGTCTCTATATTAATTAATAAATGACCATATAGCTAACTAGAATCAACTACTAAGGTTAGAAATAATCAGAAAAAAACATCATTTAATTATATTGAATGACTACCAAGAGAGTACAATTCTATAAGTTTTTTTTAAGTATTGAGATCACTAAGAGTGTTAACCTGTAATTTTTATTCTAAAACTTAGAATTTCAGTTTTTCAAATGGCATCAATTAATCTTCATTGTCAGTGAAAATTCTGTCTTACTTGGTTTATGTTCATTATTAAGATAAATATGATGTATAAAATATTTGAACTTATGATAGCATAAAATAAACTTAATAAAGTAGAATATGATAGAAACCTGTAGAGTCATCTCTTCACATCAAACCATACCAAAGGACCTGAGAAACCTCAGTTTAAAAGCCGTCTCTTAGATTTTATTTTGTTTGTTTTCTTAGTCTTTTAAACTAAGAAAATTAGAGACAGCTGCACTAGAGATATACCACCCTCCTTTTCATCTGGCATAATTAGGAGTGAGGAATCCATTGAGAAAAAAAGACTTCATATATTCTCTAGTAACTCTGGTGGAGTTGGACCAATATGGATCAAGTGCTGACTAGTGATGATAGATTCAAGGAGAAATTACAGGAATTATGTGAATTCATGCTCACAGTGGTGTTATGGTGCTCATGCTGCTAGTTCAAACATTACTTGATGACAAAACAGGGTTCTGGCTTTTTCAAAATTAAAAAAATGTCCTTCACAATAAGCTTCCAGAGAAGTCAAAACAATTTATTTATGTTATTAGACACCGTCCCCTTCTTGAATGAGGACACTATGAAGGAATCCTGAGTTAAGACAAAGTTTGAATTTGCAGGGGGTTATTTGGGATGGGAAATTGAAGTTCTAATTACCATTTGTAAATTATAGCAATGCCACTAGATTGCCATTGACTTAAAAATTGTGCATTAGGAACAATTTATTCCATTAGACCATACATAGAAGTTATGCAACGAGGATCTATTTCTGAATCTGACCTCTCATTTATGACTTGTGTGTTCACATGGGAATTAATACACATCCATGTACTACACAGCAAAAATAAGAAATTTGATGTACGATATAACTTTTAAAGCAGGTTAATAAAACATAAATAAAGTAAAATAGTGATATGGAAGAGTAGAGGCTTTTGAAAAAGTAAACTAAAACTACATCTGTAAATAGCTCTAAGGTTTTTAATAGCCAAAGAAAAAGAGAAATCATGAAAATATAGCATTACTCTTCATATTGATTACCTTTATTTTTAATTCTTTCTAGTTTATTGGGAGAATCATATTTCCAGACACCATTCCTAAGAGATAAATGTCATATGGTGAAGAATGTTAAACCATTGATAATCATCTAATGATATTTTTGTGGAAAATTATTTAATTGACCACAAATTCATAGAATTTTCTCTGAATAGTGTTACATATTAGAAAACTAAACTTGAACTGACTTTGAACTTCAATAAGATTTGAGAACATAATTTTGGTAAGCAAGCAGTGAAATTAAGACAATGATGAGCTAGTTTCACAAAGACAGTAAAAACAAGCAAGAAAATCTAGAAACTTGTCCATAAAAAAGAAAAGCAATTTGTTTCTTATATCACATGTCAGTATATGTTACATCAGAAAGGAGCAAATTTTGCGGTACTGAAATTCTGTGACTTTTATTTGACACAAAATATATATATTCATAACAAATTTATTAGTCTGATTTTAACATATCACATACTGAATGTATTTGATGATGATTTCCTTAATGCTTTTTTTATAAGTAGAAATTGATTTTGATTGATAGTATAAAAAAGATTTTAAAAACTCTAGATGTTGATTTCTTATTTTAACAGCCTCATGCGTTAGGCAAGAAATGATATATTTTAGATATTCTGCTTCTCATGCTGTGTTAAGCATCTTAAACTCTCTCTTAAAGAAACTATCCTCAAATCATGGCCTATATCTATCATTGTAACATCCATTCTGTAATGATACCATTTATCCTCATTTTAAGCAATTACTAGTTTTTAGAAACTGTAGAAATATCTTCTTTTATATAATGAAGATATTAAAAATAAGAATAAGGGATACCTCATATCTCTCTCTTTCCTCCCATCCCCCATATCTCTTTCTCCTTGTATGTGTGTTTGTGAGAGAGACCACTCTAACATTTTATATATATATATATATATATATATATATATAATAGATATATAATTTAATCACTGTTCAAATGAGTTCAAAATAATTATTTTATTTAATTTATTTCACTTGAATTTTCAATGGCCTTGAAATAATTAGTCATATTATACTTTGTTCCTTAATAGATTTAGTCATATTATACTCTTTATCTATTAGATAAAAAGATAACAGTTACAAGATTTTTTTTTTAAGTTCATACACCTCAACCTTTACAGGGCTAGAATATAAACCTATATACTTAGTATTCAAATGCCATCATCTTTTACTTTATTATTGTTTCTTCTTTACTCTTAAATACAAGTAGTCCAGGTGCAAATGTGTTAATTGACTGAAAAAATAATATTTTCACTAAAAATGTGAGGCACAAAATCTTATAAATCTGAAGTTTTATTGTTTTCCTGATATGCCTTTTATATTGTCATTTATTTTCACTCATCATTCTTGAGTTAGTACTAATGAAATATTAACATTATATTTATTTGTAGAATATCTTATTTTACCTAGTTAAAAAATTTAATAATTTTTGAAAAAGCAGTGATGAATACACATAAAAAATAATTTAAAATATTCAATGATATGCTGCCCATAAGAGACTCAATTTAGTTTGAAGAGCACACATAGACAGAGCAAAGGGTGAAAAATATTTTAAGCAATAGGAAAACAAAAGAAAGCAAGGGTAGCTATCATTATATCAGACAAAATATAGTTAAGCAAAAAATAGTAAAAAAAAGTCAAAGATAGGCTATGATAATAAAAGCAATACATCAAGAAGATATAACATTTGTAAATATTAATGTATCCAAATTTGGAACATTTAAGTACATAAAGCAAATGCTAAAACTATTAAAAGGATAAATGAATAGCAATACAATGATACTTGGGGATGTGAATACCCTACTCTCAACAAGGGATATATCCATTCAGAAAATCAAGAAGAAAACATCTGTTTTGAACAAAACTATAAAGCAAATAATATTAACACACATATAGAACATATTCCATCCAATAGAAGTGCAATATATAATTCTTCAAAGCATACATGGAACATTTGCTATGATATATCATGTGCTGCAAACAAAGTCAACTAATTCAAGAAAAAAATTACACTGAGTGTATTTTTTGACCACAGTAGTGTAAAACTAGAAGTCATTAACAGAAGGAAAGCTGAAAAATCCACAAGTACATGAAAGTTAAACAACAAACTAATGAACAACCAACGTATCAAATAAAAATAACCAAAGAGAAGTTAAATATATCTTAAGACAAGTGAAAATAGAAACAAAGCATTATAAAATATATAGGATTCAACAAAAGCAGTTTCAAGAGGAAAACATATGCAGATAAATACATATATCAAGGAGAAAGAAAGATCTCAAGTAAACAAGCATTGTACCTCAAGAAATGAGGAAATATGAAAGGTTGAAGCTGGGAGAAGAAATAATAAAGCAGAAATAAATGAAATGGAAAATAGGAAAATAAGAGAAATAATGAATAAAACTAAGATTTGGTTCTTTGAAAATGTAAACAATATTGATAAATTTTAGACTAGACCAACCTAGAAAAAAAATGATGTAAATAAATTATAAATGAAAAGTTATATATTTCATCTTATAAAAATGAAATGTTTATTTCAACAAATAAAAATATCATAAAAGACTACTATGAACAGTTACACATAAATTTAACAACCTAGAAGAAATGAATAAATTCCTAGAAATATAAAATTGGCCAACACTTAATCCTAAAGAAATAAAAAATCTGAACAGAAAACTAAAGAGTAAGGGTTTTGAGTCAGTGGTCAGAAAAACTTCTGAATGAATGTATTTCCAGAACCAGATCATTTTACAGGTCTCTTCTACCAAATATTAAAGAACTAATACCA